TATATTTGATTTTTGTTAAGTTGCCTAATAATTATGCACAGTAATAGTCACCTGCACACACAGATATCCCCCTAAAATAGCTAAAACTAAAAACTACTTCCAAAAACATTCAGCTTTGATATTAATTAGTTCTTTGGGTTCATTGAGAACATGGTTGTTGTTCAATAATAAAATTATTCCTCAAAAATACAACTTGCCTAATAATTCTGCACTCCCTGTAGAGGCCTTTATTGCAAAACTGCTTGCTCACACTGTGCTGTTTTTGTCAGGTGTGTGGCTTTGTGCAGTCTGGGGATATGGCTGTGTGAGGAGCTGGCCCACGGGACTCAACATCCACAGATTAAAGATGCTCTCAATGTGATCTGTGTTACCTTGAAGGTCAGTTACACCTCAGTACATCTATAAATGGCAATTAAGTTCTGTTCAGCTGGACTTCCAAAAAGCAACCTAAATTTTATATTTGAACTGTGACTCGTTAAGACTGAAATGTCAGACCAGTCTGATCGCATTATGAGTTGTGTTATAGTTGTCTGTTCTCACACTTTGTCCCCATTGACCATGGATCTCTCAGTTTCTGACTGTGGTCCCGTGAAATAAGACCAAAGCAGTGACTCTGATTCAAAGGCATAGCAGACTGGCCGCATGTTGCACAGATCTGCTCAACACACTAGTGCCAAAACATCTGCTCCTTTTTAGGCTGAAAGTCTATCATACTGTTTCCATGAGGCAAGCCATGGTATAGTGCAGACCACTTACATAGACAAATAAATTGAATGTAGTGTATGAGAGAACGTACTTCTGTTCTTTATCCTTTTCTTTCTTTCTTTTTAAGACAGACACATTTTCAATGATCCCTTCTCTACATCTGAATGTGAATCCTATTTAATACTTTGTGAACCCTGAAAATGATTGGCTGCAGCCGGATTGCCAATCCAAACTATAGAACTGGTATCTTTGTTGATATATTCCTGTTGTTGTTAAGATAGCCTTTGATAGGAAACTCCTATGTAAGATCCTGTAAAATGTGTCGGTTATAAAAATTAAAGGGTCACTGTCATCATGCCTCTCACTCCTCTCTGTTCTATACCCTTCCCACTAGACAAGTATGGATACATGAGTGTACTTCATTAAAGAGACCAGTTAGCGAGGCCCTGGTGAGAATGTGTATTCCCATGGAGGTTGTTGGCAGTCGCTGTGAGATGGTTGCAAAGAGGTTGCAAACTAGTGGCTGAGTGGCAATAAAACTGCAATGGAAACTAGAAATTAAGTACCTTCGCTTTCAAAGTAAAAATGTGTCTTACCACTGCAACTGACACGTTTCAAGAGAAGCAACACTTTCTTTTGCCAACTGTGGATGCAGGGATCTCTAATCCTGCATGACTGTTTCTTTATCAGTTGATTTTAAGGTAGCCATGTTAACCTGTGCAAGATTTTTTTTCAGTCTGATTAAAATTCACTGTAGATCTTCACTAAATAAGGTAATCGTTTTGACATTGACAGAATTATCTAACTTTTAAGAATTGGCGGAAGTTGATTTCTGATGTAAACAAACATCGCTTTCTGGGTTTTTTCTTTAGTGTCACCTTGCTGTGTGCCACAGATTTCAATTTCTCCCTTCTTACTTACTTTTGTGACTTCACGAGAAGGTTAACACATGCACCTCTAATGAGCCTTAAGACTCCTTTTACTCGACATCTAAAAATAGTTCTGGGTATTCTAATTTATTAGAATCAGGGGAATTTATTTGGGGCGATCGTGGCTCAAGAGTTGGGAGTTCGTCTTGTAATCGGAAGGTTGCCGGTTCGAGCCCCGGCTCCGACAGTCTCGGTAGTTGTGTCCTTGGGCAAGACACTTCACCCGTTGCCTACTGGTGGTGGTCAGAGGGCCCGGTGGCGCCAGTGTCTGGCAGCCTCGCCTCTGTCAGTGCGCCCCAGGGCAGCTGTGGCTACAATGTAGCTTGCCATCACCAGTGTGTGAATGTGTGGATGACTGGATATAGTGTAAAGCGTTTTGGGTTCCTTAAGGGACTAAGTAAAGCACTATACAAATAAAAGGTTATAATGCATTTTTGTCCAATGCCAGAAACATGTTGCATACCACAGCTTTAAATTCAGAGTTATAGTAAGGTAAGCAGACCAAAGTATAGAGTTAATACTGGAGGATTAGATGGAGGGTGTGTTTAACATGTTGTCCTTTGAGCAGCCAAAGTACGATGGAAAACGCTGTTGGAGATGAGTGTTGGTGAAATTTCCGTAGTGGGCTTAGTGTGTTTCAGACTGGGAGGCCTGTGGATCACAATAATACGGCCCAACATTTACTGTCATCTAAAGCCAAACACACACACTCACACACACATACCTTTTCCACCTTGGAATCCCTTGCTCGTGTATCGGCAGCCAACGACCCATCACACACACACACACACACACACACACACACACACACACACACACACACACTCGCATTCACTCACTCCTGGGAGCAAACCCTGGACTGTCAATATGTTTGGTCCTTCTTCAGATAGGAGACTAATCCAGAGGGAATGCTGCAAGCTGTGTCTCTCGCACACACACACTATTGCATGTATACACACATCTTGTCCACTTTTGAATCTCTTGCCTTCATACCAGCAGCCAGTAGCTCCAGCCATTGGCTTTGTGACACACACACAAAGCTTGAGGGATTGTCATATTTCCATGCTCTTCCTGCTGTTCTCTTTGCCTTTCATCTGTAAGCATTTTTTGCCTTGTCGTCCGTGATCCTCATTACAGCCCGACTAATCTGTAACTTCTCTTTCTTTGTACTTATTATGCTGTAAACACCTTGTTAACCTTAAAGAAGTATAGCAAATACTATCTGTGGGATTTCAGCACAGATAACTGATGTGTTAGTTGTGACAGATAAGATATGATACCTGCCAGTATTCATTTGAACAGTGCCAATATGTGAAGGAGAATGTGTGTTTTTAGACTGGCAGGCAACTCAAAGAGAAGCTTTAGAGATAATAAAAATAGATGATTTATTATATGATATTTAGACTAATAATTTACTGACTTCATATCATTTTTTTATATTTTATATTTTTGTTGACTAATTTAAGCCAAAGTTATTAATAGCTTAGAAAAAATGCGCGAGCTACTTGTTTAAACCTTCTAACGGTCCTGTGGAACCATTCATCCTCTTTCCTGGACATGTTCACTTCCTAGAGAGAAGGTTCAAAATAATTTGGCCTGAAATAGGATTTGGTATTAACAAGCAACCTCATTATGGCTTTGTGAAATACAAGACGTGCCAGTGACCGATGTTTGATAACTGATACAGATGGATTTTGCTAAAAATGAATGTGTGTATGAATTTAACCCAGACCGGTGAATTAACATCAATGTTTTTTCTCCTCTGTCCCTCAGTACCCCAATAAGAGTGTAGCGCTGGTGGCGTCAGACATCTTGCACCTTCTGATCAGTTACGTTGATCATCTGCAGAAATTCCCACCCGACACTCCAAAGAAGATCGTAGAGGTGAGACATAAAATACAGAGAACATTTGAGCAACATTAATATTTTAATGTTTCTGAATATTGGTTAAGACCGCTATTGCTTTGCTATAACATCGTAATGACTGAAGTCATGCTGTGTAAAGCCAAGGCCTCACAGTGCTGGTAGACATTAACAAATTTTTTATAGAGGTTTTAAAAACTGGCTGAGGGATTTATGCTCATTTTAATCTTACTCTCTTCTTTCAGATTTTGATTGCCACCATCACATACTTGCTGCCTACTACTGAGTCTTCACCTCATGAACTGGATAAAAGGGTAAGCGGCTCACATTCACTTAACAACACTTTTTTTAAAACTCGCTGGATTGTTAGTTTTTAAAAATTGTACTTGTGTGTTGCAGCTGGTAGTTTCCCTCCTGTTGTGTCTGTTGGATTGGGTGATGGCACTGCCTCCAAAGACTCTTCTTCAGCCTGTGCAAACACGAAGCCCCCCAGAGAGGGACCAGCCTACCAAAACGCTCCTCAGCTGTATTTATAAGGTATATGCTTGTGTTTATATTCACTGTCATATGCAGTAGCGGTTTTAGATACGGGCGACACGGGCGGTATGGTGGTGGTGGGGGGGGCGGCATCACGGGCCTCTGCAAAAAAAATAAAAATAAAAATGCTCGTACTCATGCTGCTCCAACGTCAGCCAGCGCATATTGGGAATGGTACAGGCACCGATCGGTTTTCTATCGCCCATTTGCTGGGAGTAAGGACGCCCTTCGTTTGCGAGGTGCGCCTGCTGCTTGCGGTGCAGAGAGGAGAGGGCGGGGGATTTTCTGACCGGCTGGAGCAGCATCTAATAACCAACTCGCAAAGTAAACAAAATAAAAACAAACCAACAAACACGAAAACACCAGACATCATGATACAGACTTATAATTTGCTCGGTGCACCTTCTCGCTGCTGAAGTCGAAGTAAACTTTATTGTCGTCTCCGCTACATACAGTCCAGTACATAGAGAGACGAAACGACGAGGCTCCAGTTACAGCAGTGCAAGTAAACAAACAATATATATAAGAAGAGTAAGAAAATAAATATACACTTTAGGACTGGGGGTAAAGGGATCAATAACAATTAAAAATTTACAAATAGGCTAGGACCGCCACTGCATATATGTCAGTATTAGGCCAGTTTGGCTCAACTGGAGCTGTAAACGATACACAAATGAATCCACTCATCCGCTTTTTTCTTTTAAAAATGTGTCCAGGTATTACATGGCTGTGTGTATGGGGCACAGTCTTTCAGCAATCCCAAGTATTTCCCGCTGCAACTGTCGGACCTGTTGAGTCCAGACTACGACCCGTTCTTGCCTTTAGAGAACCTCCGAGAACCAGAACCGCTACACAGTCCGGACTCTGAGCGATCCAGCAAACTGCAGCCAGTCACCGAAGGTAATGCATCAAGCAGTGGAAATGCACTGCTCCGCGGTTAACACCTATTACGTTTCTGTTTTTTCCTCTTGTCGCTTTAATATACCAAGGTCTCTGCAAAACTTTTGGTTTAGTCTTTACATGTGTACACACCTGTCTGCATCTGTGTCGGAGTATATATCATCTCCTGCTGTGGTTCACTAGGACTCTAGTTTAATGACTGGAGTAGCCCGAAAGGCCATGCTTCTCTTCTCCTGTCTTCTCTCGTCTAGCCACTAATCTTCACTTACACAATTCCGTTTTTTATTCTTTTAATATCCTAAGACTATTTTCTGCTAATGTTCCTCTCACTTCTATTACATTCTGCTGGCTTCATTTATCATTTATTTTTGCTTCCCTTTGCCTTGTCTGCCTCTTTTAGAGCACCCTACGAGGTTCAGGGAGTCATTGAAAATCTGGTCAATACATATCTGTACTCTGTGCACAGCCTGTCAATAAGGAGTTGCCGTAAAGCGTGCGCGCGTGTGTGTTTCGCAGTGTGTGTGTAATGATGTTGATTAACCAGGATCGGCTGGCAGCACAATGTGTGATGGCATTGGCTTCTTCTCAGCATGGTGCAAACTATGTACGAGCTGAAAGTGTGCTTGTACTTTCTCCTAGTTTCTACAGTGATTCCTTAAGTTAACTTGTAAACTAAAGAACAAGTCAGAATACCCTTCACACTTTTTCTGTCACTGTGAAACTGCAGGTTTAACACTTTTGTTGTTTATTTTATCGGTGGATGCTACTCGCCTCTCTGCAGTAACACTCCAGTCCAATCAGCCCTACAGAAGGCTGCAATGCAGAAGAATTACTTTGCTAAACCTCTGCTAAAAGATAATGAGAGAAAATTAGTTTATTTTTATTCAATCAGCGCACATTAATCAGAGAGTAAACAGTAGATATAAAGCCTGCTGTGTGTGTGTGTGTAATGAATAGAGACTGAAGAGGGTCAGCCAAAGGCAACACTTTCTGCAAAGTGATCAAAGTTTATTTATATAGTGCTTTTCACAGACAAGCCCCAAAAATGCTTAAAACACAATTGATATGAAAATAGAATTAAAATAAACATAAATAACAAAACAATTTCAGCAGAAGGCCTGAAAAAATGTCTTGTTTTAAAGACTCTACAGAGTCAGCTTAACAGAGCTGGAGTGGCAAACTGATCCAGAGCCCTGCTGCCACAGCCTGAAAGCCTCTGTGCCCCTCTAGTCTTCAGTCTTGTATGAGGAACAGAAACAAGCATGAACTCTTCTAAACATCAATAAAATCTATCTTTTGACAACCAAAAGCTAAATATATATTTTTATATTTATATCAGCACCGATCCATAATTAACCCTTATAACAGAAATATATCTTTAAGCTTTTTGTACATCATCTGGGATGGACTTTGTTCTTGCTTTAATATTTTATTTTATTTTATTTTCTTATTTTAAAATGAGCTAAATTTTTGTATATATATTTTATATTATATTCTCTAAAGAACATTGGATCAGTGTTCTCACAGTAAACAGCCTTACTTGTTTCTCATTTTAAGTAATAAAACTATTCAATGTATTGTTGTTTTAATGGTTCATCTCTAAATGTATTAAAGTGTAACAGCAATGAATTATATTTGTATTAATGGTATATGCATTGACTTACATTTAATAGAATTTCTAATCACTAATACTCAGTGTGTTGTTTCTGCGATGATACCAATCAGTTTCTTTATGATTTCCAAAAACCATAAATATAATTTGGCATTGCTATTGCTTAACCCCCCCCACCCCCACCCCCACCTGCTGCAGCTTCCCTTTAAATTTTCTCCAGAGCAATAACACCTTTGTCTTACAGTTTACTTTCTAAATCCTGACAGTCCAATCCCTTATTTTTATTTTTCATTATAGGTGATGAAATGACGATCTGCTACCTCCTTACTATATCTTTTATCGTCTATATTCTCTCTGCAGTTCGTAGCCGTATTCAGCATGGCCTCGTCTCCATTGCAGCCAGAACAGTTATTACCCACCTGGTAAACCATCTGGGACATTATCCCATGTCCGGAGGCCCCGCTACTCTGTCCAGTCAGGTACTGTTACTTTGAGTTTGGTGGGTTAACTAAGTTATGTTAAAGGGAGGTGACTCTGCGAAATGTTGAAAGCTGTTGTTATTTTGCTGCTGTAGTAAATATAACGTCATGTTTTGCAGGTGTGTGAAAACCAGGACAATCCGTTCTGTGAGAGTGCAGATCTTGGGCCAGAACTTTTCCATTCACCCAACCTGCAGTTCCTGGTTCTGAATGGATCCACGCTGCTGTCTGTGCTTCAGGTAAATCTTCATAAATGTTCCACTTGCTTCTAAGTGTATTTTTCAGGGTTAAACGTACATGAATTTATTACTTGAATAATTACTTTTACACCTGGAATACAAATGATGACTACTGCATTTATTATATTATTAACACATTAGTGGGGAAACAATCTTTAAATAATATAAAATATTTATTTTGTGATTTCTTTACTATTTTATTTTATTTTTTGCTTCTTCTGCCGCTATTTTCCAGATCCGATCAGAGTCCGGTGTGCCAGGAGGCGGAATGACGGCTGGTTTGTCCTCTGCTCCCGCTTGTGTTCGCGTCATCATCCGAGATGTAGCTGGAAAACACTCGTGGGACTCCGCCGTCCTCTATGGGCCTCCGCCATGTTCTCCTAACAGTCCAGCGCACACACTTTTAACACACACGCAGTCACCTCACACTACAAATCTTCATTTACGCACCCCACCAGGAGGTCTGCTGAAAAAGATGGGAGCGAAAAGAGAAGATGGCGAAGAGGACGGGCAAGAGGAGAGGGGGGCAGAGGAGGGAGTGAGGATGGATGGTGACAGGCAGGAGTCTCAGGGAGAGGGAGAGGAGGAAGCAGAGGAGAGGAAAGCAAGTGAGGGGGAGAAAGAAGATCAGAGAGAAGGTGGAGGTGGATTTGAAAGGGAAGAAGAGGAGGAGGAGGAGAGAGATGAACATCGAATGGATAGTGAGGCAGATCCAGCAAAGTTGAGTTTAGAGCAGCATCTGGCTCCGCCATTGGCTAAACGCGTGTGTCGGGAGGCGGTGCCAGCGTGGGACTCACTGAGAGAAGGAGATGATGCACTGGATGAAATGCTGCAGTATCTGGGATACTCGAGTCCTGAGTGTTTGCAGAGAGCAGGTATTTTCTTTAATCTGAACTCTATAGCTGTTCAGCACATTCCTAAGTAGCAACTCTGATTCCTGATTGGTTCCCACAGGTATGCCGCTCAACATCCCAGCACCTCCTCCAGTGTGTGTTTCAGAGAAGCAGGAGAACGATGTGATCAATGCCATCCTGAAGCAAAGTGCTGCTGAGAGAGACTTCGTCCTTCATGTGCGTGCTGCCTATGTTCACATCAATAGCAATCATTAAACTCCCGAGCCTTTAGTTATTGGACCTTCACACATGCAGTACAGCATGTGTTTCCCTATGTGGGGATTTATTACAGTTCTATCGTCAGACTTGTTTTAAGAGTTATTGTTTGTTTTGTTTTTTTCAGCCATTGCTAATACATGTCATGATTTTTCTGTTAAAATAAGTCAACGTGTCTATTGTAGAAAAAGCTTTGTTGTCCCTACTGCACAGAATCAAAGGAACATGCCTCCTAAACACAGAGAAGCTAACTCATAATACCAAAACTGTTGTTTATTTTATCAGTGAATCCAGCGTTTCTGAAGGAAAAAAGTTCATCTACACTCACTGGTAAATTTGCTAGTTACACCTTGCTGGCTCCCCAATTTTGCATTTAGAGCAACCCTAATTCTTCATGGCATAGATTCAACAAGGTGCTGGAATCATTCTTCAAAGATTTTTTTCCATGTTAACATGATGGCATCACCCAGGTGTGTCAGCTGCACATCCTGTGATGTGAGTCTCCTGTTCCATTGCATCCCAATGCTTCTCTTTTGGTTTGAGAGCTGATGACTGTGAAGGCTATTTGAGTACACTGACTCTTTGTCATGTTCAAAAAAAAAAAAAACTTATTTGAGGTGATATGAGGTTTCTGACATGATATGTTATCCTTCTGGAGATGGGTACACTGTAGTCATATAGAGATGGGCATGTCAGCCTGTCAGTAATACTCAGATCGGCTGTGGCATTTAAATGATGTTCAGTTGGTATTTATGGGCCCAAAGAAATCTTATGCCACACACCATTACACCAGCAGCCTGACCAGTGATAAAAAAAACAGAATAGCCTTCACGTTTACACCAAATCCTGGATCTACCATTGTTATGTCACAGCAGAATTTGAGACTCATCAGACCAGAAAATGTTTCTCTAATCTTTTGTTATACAGCTTTGTGGTATTGTGGTATCATTTTCCTGTTCTTAGCTGACAGGAGTGTCTCTCAGTGTGGTCTTCTAGTTATGGGTGTCTGAGAAAATCCCAGCAGATCAGCACTTTTTGAAATATCCAGACCATCTGACACCAACAACCACTTAAATCACCTTTGCTCTGAATTATGATGCTCAGTTTGAGCTTCAGCAGGTCATATGACCATGTTTATGCCTGAATGCACCGAGTTGCTGCCATGGGATTGTTGATTAGGTATTTGTATTAACAAGCAGCTGAACAGGTGTGCCTAACAAAGTGGCCAGTGAGTGTATTAAAATTGATTTTACATCATTCTGATTTGAAAATAATCTGAGAAAAACACTTGGTTTAGTGTAGTGTGATTAAAAGCACCACCATTATGTTTGTTGTCATAAGCCTCAGTGGTGGCTGGCGCTCATTGTTGTATTTTCCATGTTTTATTTAATTTTTTGGTTTTTGTGCATTAAAATGAAGCAATCGAATGTTTCAGAGAGGTGAGGAGCTGAACATGAGAGCCGTGCATCAGACTGAACCAGAGACTCAGGCGCCACAGTCGGCCTTCTATTACTGCAGACTACTGATCAACATACTGGGGCTCAACTCCTGGGAGAAGAGGTAAGATCGAGCACTGCACGCTGTGACGATCCGAAATTAAACTGGAATTTTGGGTTAATGATATTTATGTTCGCTTTTTATCAACAGTATTTGTGCCACTTCTAAACTTTATGTTAATGATCACTTTAAAAGGGATTATTAAGGCTGTGTAATGTACCTCTGTTTCTAAGATGAGTTGTGGTCCACAGGGTAATATCTAAATGTTCAGTTAAAATTCAAATACAAAAGAAAACCTGGATAATCCTCATTTCTAAAATATAAAATGGCCCAAATTTAAAACGGACCTAATGGTTTAAACATTATGACCCAAAATAAGCAGCATAAACTTATTTGGAAAGTATTTACAGAGGTCAGAGCCAGGAGATAATTTCCCAATGACGTCTTTAGGACCAGAAGTATTTTTGCAGCCATAGCTATCGCCCCCTGGAGACGATTAAAAAGAATGCAGGCTTCAGGAACTTCTCATTAGCTTATTTTCAGCCTGCCTTGTTAAAGACTTTTAAAACTGTCATTTTAACATCAGAGTTAATGTGGATTAAATGGCCAGTAGGGAAACTGCAGTTTTTAGCTTTGTGTTTTAATCCTGGTTGAAACACAACAGTCACAGCACACAGTAGTCGCATTAAAATTCTACTACAGTAAAAATATTTGTCAGTGTATGGTGGTGACTTTGAAAAGAGGTGATTTCTTTTATCGTTTCTACAACGCAGCGGACTTTACCAACTGTTGCTAGATGTGTGAGTGCAACGTAGTTATTATATGGTACCGTCACAAAGGCCTTACTAAAAAATATAACACACAATCACACTATATTGATGTAAACAACCTTGTTGCATCCCGTATCTCATGAAAATATATCTATAGCCCTTAGATAATGTTACTCCAAATGAGTTTTAGTTTTTAACATGAATATTTCTTTTACTCTCTAGTTTAATTTTATGAATATATTATTCTTTCCATTAAGACACGATGGTTTATTCTGTCATTTAAAAGCCATAAAACATCATTTTTGTACAAGCTATACTAACTAAGAGGCTGTTTTCGATCTGGAGTGTCTCTTTGAGCAAAGCATATTCTTGCTTAATGCAAATGAAACAAAAAAAGATTCAAATTCAACAGAGTGCTCTTTTTTTTTTTTCTTTTTTCATTACACTTCACATTTTGCCATTCATAATGCACAGCATTTCATCTTCTCAGTGACTCTGGGCTAAAATACACAATGTCGGGGTATCACTTTAAAAGTGCCCAGCCATCTAATGGACCCTCATCGCTCTTTATACTTTATCCAGGGAATTACACTTTCTGCATTCAGCCTGCACAATAGACTTCTTAACACACTGTGCTTGTGTGTGAGTGTGTGTGTATAAAGAGTGTGTGATAATGAGTATAGTGCTCTATTGATCAAATTCAACCCATTTGGAGTTAGAATAAAAGAAGAGGAGAGAATGATCGAGCGTGAAGTGGCAAATCAGAAAACAGGATGAAATGAGGCACATGTAAATGTAGACAGTGAATTAAAAAAAAAAAAATGACATGGTGCCAGAAAAGGTGAGTGGATTTGGAAGGTAAAAATGAGAAATTTGGATGTTGGAGAAAAGGGAGAATAGACGGACAAGGATGAAAGAAAAGAAGAGATTGTCTAATCATGTGTTATTGTCTCTCCAGGTATTCATATGGGGCATTACAGATACTAAGATACTGACAGTCACCTACGTGCGTGCATGTGTGTGTCCCCTTTTATGCTTTTCCCTATAATCCAGGGTGTAAATGGAGTCTTTGAGAGCAGAGAATGAGGCCATTACCAAGTATCAGTTTAATAAAGACCAAATTGCTGTCCCCCTCTCGTTCTCTCTCTCTCTCTCTTTATCTCCTGCTCTTTCTATCCCGTTTTTCCCCTTTCTCTAAGAGTGAAAAGAATGACGCGTCATTATCAGTCCACTCCAAGCTTCACCGCTCGAGTCTAGGTTTTATATCAGCGGTGCAGAGGTTGGGGGCTGGTCGCTGGGACACTTTGAACGGCCTCAGGACAAGTTAGTCTGCATGAAAGGCTTTTGTTTTCATTAATAATAATGTCCCTTTTCTTTTATGTTTGGACCCTGAAAGTGGCGTCGACATAAACTGCAGGTCCTGTGATGTGTGGCTGCATTTGCTCATTTATATTAAAACCCAGTAATCTGTATTTGTAAGGCCAGAGTTGAGGCAGCAGCTTCAGAAACCCAGCACCTCCCCTGCCTCTTACACACATTTTGTTTTATATTGAGAACAAAACATAGTAAAAATTGGACTGCAAATACCCCCTGAAGCCATTTTAGACAGACCTACAGGAAAACCAACATGCTATGTGATTGTGTTTAGTAGTAGCAATTACTGGACAACCACAGCTGTCAACAACAGCTGGTAACCCCCAGCCCACGTTAAAATGATTTAGAGGACCCAAACAGATTAGCCACAAGGGACTGAATGTTAAAATCCTTCTTTAAAATCTGGGTTGTGGTCATTTATGGGTGATCTGTCAGTGTGCGTCTTCCTCAGTCTCCACTCCTCCTCTCTATAGTCTTGTATTAAAATGAGGTTTTTTTCCTCCAGCGCTGAGTTTGTGGATCTAGAAGAAGCATGTTATAGGGTGTCAATAGAAGAACTGTGGTACTGCATGGGGAAGTCAAAAGTGACAGATTTGAGGCTAGTGCAGGACATTTACTGCATAGTTAAAGGCTAAAAGGTCCATTCAGAGGCAAGAAGTGATCAGGGACTATGTTTAAAGATACCTATAATTCCTAAATAGATCATGCAGTGCAACAGGTAATATTGTTAAACTCCTTGAATTAAAGCTAAAAGTCTCCATTTCAGTCTCACCTTGATTGTTTGATTATTATTATTTTTAAATCCCCTTCAATAGTATGATAGTATGGTCCAAAATGAGGGGAAAAAACAACATTGTCATGCTTTAAACCCTTGTGGACTTTAAACAGCACTTCTTATTTTGCCATTGTGTGAGGGTGACAAAAACCTGCAACCAGCTAATTAGTAGAGACAGGAGTGACAGCCGGGCAGTGATCAGGCAGTTCAATCTTAATGATGATTAATGGTTCCTGACTTGTGCACTTCTGTCTTACAGGAGTAGTTTTCACTTGCTGAGGAAGAATGAGAAATTACTGAGAGAGCTGAAGAACCTGGATTCACGGCAGTGGTGAGGAGCCTGGAAAAAAAATCCTTCTTTTCTGTTCATTCAGCTTTTTGTCGGATCATACTTTGAACCGGTTTGGTGTTGCAGCTTTAATAGGTTCTCATCTGTTTTGTTTTGTTTTTTCTTCATTCTCTTCCAGCCGTGAAACCCATAAAATTGCAGTATTTTACGTGGCTGAAGGCCAAGAGGACAAACACTCCATACTGACTAACACAGCTGGCAGCCAGGCATATGAGGACTTTGTTTCTGGACTGGGGTGGGAGGTGAGAACACATTTATACATATATTACTTATCATTATTATGGATTTAGCATTATCAGGACCATTTCAAAGTAATGAAAACCTAAACAGTCACCTGTATGTTTTATTCTTTTTAGCAGTGTGTGATGAAGCAAAACACATAATTAATGCAATAACAGTAATATTTCAGCCTATGAAACCAAATACTGTGAATTCTGCTTAAGTCATCTTTAGTGAATACATGTACTCTAAGGTTTAATATGATCAGCTTTGGCACACAGCTGTGGCCCACCTTGTTCAAACCTTCTGTTTGTGAATGGCAGCCAATCAGGAGGATGCCAGGGGGAAAATTCACATTTTAATTAGGCAAAATAAGTTAAAACAGTTTGCAGATACTCATATGCTATGCCTCAGAGCTTGGATTGTTTTTCACTGGTGATTGTTGATAAAAATTGTGGGGGCTTAGAAGGGCGTGAACCACTGGCTTAAAGGGGAAGGAGCTAAAGTGGCTCGTTTCAGACAGAGGTGGAACATTAAGCCGAAGTAAAAGATAAATACTTATATTTTGAACTAGAATCCATGCAGTGCTATTCCAGCAGAGTTCAAGAATTAAAATCTGGAGAAAGGAAGTTTGAAATTTTGGGAAATTAGCTGGTTATTTAGGATCATTTACTGCTACTGACAAAAACTTGTTTTCTTTATAATATGTTAGCACTTTGATTAGATGTTTAGGGACAAGAATATAGCGTGAACACAATCCACAGCATTTATAGCCTTACATAATATGAAATAAGCTAACTGAACGCAGAGGTTACATTTTGCTAAATGGACCTCGCTTGATATTGTTTGTGTGCTTGGGCCATTTAGGTGGACCTGCCCACTCACTGTGGTTTCATGGGAGGCCTTCAGAGAAATCGCAGCACAGGCCAGACCACTCCTTACTACGCCACTTCCACTACTGAGGTCATCTACCACGTCTCCACTCGCATGCCCCACGACCAGGACCTTAACCTCACCAAGAAGGTAACGCACTCGACACAGTTTATCTAGACATGCAGATGGATGTATACAGGCTCTCTGTGAAGGGTGCTAGTTCCTCTTCTGTGCTTTTTGTTTTTTTGTTTCTTATAGAGTGTTAATAGTGCTCCCCACTGTAGCAGTAGTAAATTTATAACCAGTCGCAATTAAGTATGAAATATGTGTCATTAGCAGCACTTTATTTGCTGTTTTGGGCAACACAAAAAACCACTGTGACATTTCAAAAATTGTCAAAATTGCTTGATAGATGGATGGAAACATCTCCCAGACTACATCTGACTGTGTTTTATGTTCTGTGGAAAAGAGTAATTAGTAATAATGAGCATGCTTATTGTTCTAATTTCACTTCTTTTATGTAGTGAGGGGACAAGAACTCCTTAGTCCTTCTTTTCGTCCACCCACACCTCTTTGATGAGCATAGGTACACACTCACACCACTCTGATGTCAGTGCTTCTACCCCACACCAATGCATTCAATAATTCCTCGGAGCAATCACGCCTGTATTTGTGCAGTGTGGCGCGTGGGGTTGTATCAGCCTCTAGGCAGCCAGGTTTATTGTGCGTGTGTGCGGTTGTGTGTGTGTGTGTGTGTGTGTGTGTCTGTGTACACACCTGTCATCCCCCAGGCACTGGGCGCTCTGCACATGGCCATAATGTCCCCATAATCAGATCATACTTCCTGCTTCTCGGCCTATCACGTCGCTTCAGGCTCCTGATTGGATTATCACCGCCTGGTCCGACACCATCAGTCTCCCTGATCAGCTGATGGCCCCATCAAACACGCATAGTCACATACGGACACGCACACACGCCACTGTGAACCCGTTTAACGTGACACAAACACACATCCACGGCAGGTTTCATTCACATCCATCTGCCCAAATAACCGCACAGCCATACATTTGTGTTAATGCTGGACAAAGCGAGTGTACACAGGCTTACAGACACAGTTTGACAAACGTGTCCACAAACAGGTTAAACTGAGATTTATCATTGCCACCCACTGAAAATACAAACAGTGTTGTCCATCGCAGGACATTTTTCCAGGTCTACGTCGTGGGCTGTCTCATCTGTGCAAAACACGATTAAATGATTAAAGCTGCATTACACCAGGTGATTGTGGCATCAGAGATGACATCACTCTGAGCTTCGTCACTGAAACATTTTTAAAATAAAAGTACAGCTCAGAGAGGCATATCAGACACCAAGACTCCAGACTGCCTTAAACTGTGCCACCTAATTGTTCTGACACCCAAAAAATACGACTTGAGGCTCATAACTCTTTCTTAAAGTGCAGTAATGGAAAGAGCATCAGTTCCCAGTATTACTGATGACTGTGAGTATCCTGCAGACACAGGAGGGGGTTTAGATTTATTCAAGGCAAAACTTCACAGATATATCAACTTTATGCTTTTCCCATCAAGTTCTGTCAGGTTAATTAAGCCTATAACTCACTGTATTCAGGTAAATTCAAGTCAGTGCTGCATGTTGGCGAAATCACGTCCAAATGTGTTAAATAATGCTTACATTTTTAAAAAAAAATTTAGTTGACCCCAAGCTTGTATACGAGCTGAGGATCAAGCGATGAACTCCAGGGTCAATGCAAAAGTGCAAAAACCTGCAATTCCTCCAGTGGCCACTTGATGCTGGCTAAACAAGTGAGTCAGTTCACAAAGACTAAAATAACCCAGTTAATAACTAATATCCCCATCAAAACAACTGTACTGTTGTAACTACGGAGCCCCGCAGGGGACATGGGAGAAAAAAAAAATTAAGACTGACTTTTGCGAGATCTCGCAAAACTATCTCGGGATCTCGCAAAAGTTTTAGCCGCATTCTTCCCGTTAGCTCGAAGCTAACGGGAGGTCGAGACCCACTACAGCCGGGAGGAACATCGCTTTCCCGGCAAATCGTGCCTCGACCTCCCAGTCGGCTTCGAGCCGGCGTCCGAAGAATGCGGCTAAAAGTTTTGCGAGATCTCGCAAAAGTCCGTCTTAATTTTTTTTTTTCTCCCATGTCCCCTGCGGGGCTCCGTAGTAACTCATCTCTCTGATGGGCAGCAGTAAGCTGACAGTTGACTGTAAGGCCTCACCTTCACTAGTTCCAGTCTTTGAACTGGACTAGCTGATAAGTTATAGGCACTAATGTATGTAACGGGTAGTGTAACATAAATCCCACCATGTGTAAAATACAGTCTGTGATGTCTACAAACCAAATTACATCATTAAACTTTGCATCCCGGTGCACTATTTAATTAGTCATAAAAGTAACTGCAGTTAAACATTTAAAAGGATCTGTCTTCAGCGTGTTTGTCTCATGGCCGAGGACAAGACTGGCAGCTATCAGAAGGTGTGTACAGAGACCTCTGTACACACCTTCTGGAGGACAACCCCCACCTGCCACCTCCCAGAGGTGGCAGGTGGGGGTGTGTGTTTTGGCAGACATCAAGGTTAATGACTGAGCTGTCACCAGCCCCGACTGTAGTCGGCGTGGGTGTGAATCTCACACACAGTCAGAGGATCACACACAATCCCATCTGTCTTCGAGCCCCTACTCCATCTTTCCGGGGCTTCACTTTGTCTTGTTGTCCACTCTCCATCTTCACACACGCACTCCATCACGGCCAGGGCCACCTAAACCACATATGCACACAGACTTCAAAGCCTTGGGGTTATGATGGATACAGCCTATCCAGCTCCGTTTGCAGATCCCTCTCGGTCAATGTTGGTGTTTGAGTAATAATGTATATTTTTCTTCCATTTTGATTCTATTAATTTCTTTTCTTTCTTTCTTTTTTGCCTCTCCAGCTCAGACATCTTGGCAACGACGAAGTCCACATCGTCTGGTCAGAACATTCCAGGGACTACCGCCGCGGGATCATCCCCACTGAGTTCGGAGATGTGCTAATCATCATCTACCCCATGAAGAACCACATGTATTCCATCCACATACTCAAAAAACCAGAGGTAAACACGCAGGACTAGGCAGTTGTTCCTTACACACAGACATTTAAAGCTCATTATTAAAACCTGGCATGGTAATTTAACTGCCCCTGAGCCTATCACTGATGGCTATCTGTGTCACCTTTTGTGGGAATTGTTTGCCAATCAATGTAATCTTTCCCATTATCAGTGGCAGCAGTGCCAAATTAAAGGAAAAATCGAAACACTTTTCTAAATGCAGCCTTTTTTAGCTGTATTTGTGGCAAAGCAACAATGAAATGTTAAATAAGTGAAATGTTCACTTATTAAAAGTCTTACTTAGTTAGCCATTTTTGTATTTTTTTTATACTTAGACTTGTGTGGATTTGGGGAAAGTTTGGTTGGAGAAAAAAAATGAGAACAATATTTGGTCCATGATTTTATGTTTCCTACCAGACCCCACAGATATGCATCCAGATTGACTAACAATCCTAGAGAGAGTCTTGCCCCAAGTCTTTCTGATCTGGTTAATGTATCAGTCTAAAGCACACAGACATTAATACCACAGCACTGATGGCATAACTCTATTTCAAACAAGCCCTAACACAATAAAATGCTGCTTTTTTTTTCTCTGTGACATAGATACCACAGCACTAATAACATAATCGTATTCTCTTTCATTCATTCTGCAGGGAAAAATATTGAATTATCATGAATCCAAAAACAAGTTAGATAAGATATTCCCTTTGTTGTTGTCCTGAAAGCACATGTATTCGGCCACAGAGCGCATGGCTTGGAGACCTGGTCCACAAATAAACTCAATAAAAGTCCGGCATTAGTTTCTTTGGTGGATTCCACAAGCAAAGCATTGAATTATATGGGAAAGTCAAAGCCTGAATCAAATATTGTATCATTACAAAAATCTGTGGCGTCAATCATTACTTGTCAGGGTCGGTTCAGTAGAACTGAGTAACTCCCACTGTTTCATAAAAATCTAGACTTTTCAGGGTTTTCTTTAAAAAAAAATCTAATTTGAACTATATAAAGGAATAAACGTGGATTTAATGCCAGTTTTGTTCTCTGTAGGTTCCTTTCTTTGGTCCGCTGTTTGATGGAGCCATTGTGGACATGAAGATTTTGCCCACCATGGTGAGAGCGACAGCTATCAACGCGAGCCGGGCCCTTAAATCCCTCATCCCTCTCTACCAGAACTTGTATCCTTTAAAACCCTCATATGAAAATTTAGGATAAAAAGGCAAAGGTAGGATGCTGAAAATGAGTTTTCTCTCTGGTTTTTCTCTTTTCTTGTGTTATATTAGCATATTATTTATATTGTTGTGTATTATGTTTGCGTTTTAAGAGATATTTAACCTCACAAGACTCTTTTGCCACAAACTTCAGGAAAAAAAACTTCATTCAAAACTCAAAGGTCTGCAGCACGTGGATTTATGCTATTACCAGCTCTCTGTTTAGGTCTGAAGACTTCAGCTATTCCTGCACTTTGCAAAGTTTTAAGTATCAAGGTGAACGAGAGTCACACCAAATACATATCTAATTTCTTTCTTTCTTTTTTTCCAAATGATTGCTCAGAAGAATTCAGGGGAGTATTTTATTATTATTGGCCTGAAAGAGTTTGCAAAACACTTTAAATATCACTGTGTCTAACCTTCACTGAAACAGGTAGGCTTGCTGACAGCTGACAGCATATCGTCCTTTGCAGCCTCGTGCAGAAAAGGCCTTCAATCTCTTTTTCTTTTGTACTGTGGTTGTAGCTTTTTTAGTGTTACATTAAACTCTTAAGTCCACTAAATGCAGTCTAAAACTATTTTTAGCAGTTTTGCATCACCTTGATATTTATTTATTTATTTAATTTTTTATGACTTGCCCTGTCATCCACAATTCCACATGCTCTCAAATGATGAGATGTTTTAAAAACTTACATTGAAGTTGTGAGAATGTCGTTTTGCTGTGTGAGCTTTTGAAATCGTTGCACGTGTGAGTGTGAGAGAGAATGTTGGGTTGGAGGATTAAGAATAGCAAATCAATGTCCAGTGCTGTGCAGCTTTCAGAATATGAGAGCTCGTTTGATAGAGCTGCATTTAGTTGCCTCTGAAGTGCTATATATCAAGTGTGCGTGTTTACCCGTGCGTGGCCAGGCAGAGAAGATTGGGATGCACATTCGGAGGGTGTGTATATGTGTGTGTCTGTGAATCCGTGTGTGCAAGGAGAGAAAGGCAGACAGACAGGTGTGCATGCAGTCTGTCTGCCTGATCTGAAGCGATGGTTTGGAAGAAGCCGTGGTCGATAATTATCGATGACTCTCCTCTCTAATGCTGTTCCTAAATGAGAGGCTTTGCTCTCTGGTCTCAGAGACACACAGCCAGATAAGTATCCACATTCATACACACTCTTGATTACACTTACATGGACACAAGAGGTACAGAAATCCAAGTGAATCAATATAAAAACATGCAGATTAGTTAACATTTTTCAACCAATATTTTTTTAAAGAAAGACTGTGAAACTAAAAAACAAACAAACACAAAAACCAAAACAGTAATTGTCCCCCATGTCTGTGTGCATATCTTTGTGTTCTCTCTTTTCTTTGTGTTCAAAACTGCCTGATGACCAATTAAAGGAAAAACATAATCCCTATTCCCTACAGTGAGAGGATCCGGTGGCTCCGTTTTGTCGTGAGGGACTTTGTGCAGACATGCTTTGGTTCCACTTGTCCCTTTGAAAGAGAATCGTCAATACAAAGTTTTTCTGAGTGATCACCTTCATGCTGAAAAACAGGTGCTTTTAACTTCTAGGCTGAACGATTGTAATTCCTTATTATTATTATTATTTTTTTATTTTTTTATTTCTACCAGAATGCTGCAGTGAGATGACTAACATGAAGTGTTTAGTTCCGTATTAAATTTGAAATCCTTCTCTTCACATGCAAAGCCCGAATGTCCCCATTATATCTCAAAGACCCCAAAGATACCTTTATTGTATTGGTGTAGAGCTACTTTGCTCTCAGACTGCAGCCTAACTTGTGTTTCCTATGTTTCCCAAGAGTAGAGCCTTTTGGTATCAGGCAGCTTCAGTTATCAGACTTTGTCCAAGTCATCCAGTTCACCTGGAAGGTGCACACATGTGGGGGATTTGGCACTGAGGTGTTAGACATTATTCTGAGGGAGAAAATCCTTTGAAAGATTGGTGTTCATCCATGCAGTACAGTTCCAGAGCCTCTGTGATTCAGGGTCAAAACTGCTTGGAGCTGTTCTGGTGGCATGTGGCGTCACTTCCCCCCCACCTTTACTTTGTCACCTGCCCTGTACATAGTGCAGGTGATGAAAGATGGTGGCGCATGTGGATAGACAAGGGAAAGGACAGGCCGAGGAAGCCATTTCGCTCTGCTAGTGATACACAGGCTGTTAGGCTCAGTGTGGGGCTGTAGCTCGTGAGCAAACACCCCCCCACCCGACAGCTTTGTGTAGGTGTATGTGCGTTTTTGTGCGCCCACTGCTTCTTCCCCACCTTCATGTCTCAGTTTGTGTTTTTTGTGTTACTCCAGCAATCTTGAGCGAGTGTGCAGACATGTAGACACCTCTGCTAGCGTCCACATGTCCTGCGTTTCCGTGGGAGACTGTGTGTGCACGTCCGTTTACCCACTGCGCACGTTTGTTTGTGAGCATGTGCACTTGGTGACACACTTGTGTCACGCATGCTTGTTTTGGGGTGTTTGTGTGTGTCTGAAAGTGTCCTGGCGCGTATCGATTGGTGGTAGCAGCAGGCCGATGTCTCTGACAGGCTGAATTACAGTAATCAGTCATTATTGACTCCCCATCTCTGTGCTACACACACCACTCTGCTCCTCTTATCTGTCTCTCCACCTCTCCCTCCCTTTGTGTCCCCCACTTCTGTCACTCCTTTCCTCCCTCCCTCCCTCCCTCAAACTCTGGGACCATCTATCTTTACACTCACATCCCTGTATGTCTTCTTGTGGCCTTTTCCACCTCCTCCTGCTTCTATCTTGTATCTGTGGCCCTCATCATCTTTTCCTCTATCTTCCTCCCTAATTCTGTCCCTGCATTGTCTCTCTTGTCACTCTAATTCCTTTATCTTAGCAAATCCTTTTTTTTCTATCTCTGTCGTACTGTCTGTTTTTCATCTTTTTCACATTTATTACTTTTCGTTCTTCATTCAGTTTTTCTCCCCCAAATCTTTTTCTTGTCTGTTCATTCTCATTGTCCTAAAGTGAGGGAAAGTCGCTTCATGATGTAATAGCAACCCTTTAAGACAAACTTTTCTCAATAATATTTCCCTGTTGGCATTTTTCTTCCAGCTAGGTCCCCTCAAGTATGAAGGACTGCAATAATAAAAAATAAATAAAGTAAAAAATGTGTAAATAAATTGTTACGTGCCTCAGTTCTCATCATTAGGGCAATTGAAGGCCCTGTCATTATGAAATGCAGTGATAGATATAGAAAAGAATGCATTATGTTCAGAAGCTAATGCAGAAATAAGGGCATAGACTTAAAAATAATAATAATTTCTTAAATAAAGCAGGAGTCTCGAGAGATAGATAGATATATATATATATATATAGAGAGAGAGAGAGAGAGAGATAAGAGAGAGAGAGAGAGAGAGAGAGAGAGGTAATGCAGTGCATTTTTTAAAAGTATGAATATATAATTTATGTTATAAATTAATTCATGCATATTTTTAATTTTTACTGTTATTCATCCGTTTAATGTCTTGTTTATTTGTTCTTAAAGGGGGCTTTACAACAATTACAACATACCTGGCCAAGCAACGACATCTTGGGTCTTAAAAAAAGCCTCTATAAGGGGGCGTAATACAGCACATTTCTAACCTTAAAACATTTAAATGTTACATTTTGCCACTTGAGATCAAATGTAAATCAGAGCAAAACACTTTTTCATGGGTACAGTAGTTGTTTTGTTGTTGCACTGACCCAGGTCTTTGTGATAAGTTGTGTTTAAAACGACACAACAGCTTGTGCTACGATGAGGATCTTCATCTCTCTGTGGCGGCTGCAGTGATCAAACAGTTTTCCAGCTGCGGTTGGTTTCATTGCTTTGTTTTGTTCAGCTATTACAGAAAAGGAAGCTTCACACAAATACACGGATCATGCCTTTTTCTGTGTTTCAACCATGGTTCCTTCCCCCCCCCCCCCCCCTGATTTTCAGCTGTTGTTGAATATTTGCAAGTGGTTTCCTGCTCAGAGTGAATTTAACTGTTTGGAACATTTATTCTAACATGTGGTTTGTGGAACTTGAACTACATCTCCAAACGTTGATTCTGTTCATCTGGACGTAGCGTTTTCAGTGGGAGAAATGTTTCATCACTCATCCAAGTGACTTCTTCAGTCTCAGCTGACTGCAGGTTTCCCCAATCTTATAAACAGTACATTTGCCTAATGACTGAAACCAGCCCACTCCTTCATCATGATTATGCAAATTCTCATGACCACTGATCAACTTGAACTACATTGAAAAAATAATATTAGTAGCCCATGCTTTGTATTCCTGTCATTCAGTGTTATAGAAATCATTTGAGACTCCTAATGTCAAAAAAATTTAACGGAACTAAAATGCTTGTGATATGTTACATCGAAGATTATGCATTTGTTGGCAAATTTTTGCCCCATATATGAGGGACCAGAACCTATGAAATGGACTTAATATTCTGGTCATTATGACCAGAAATGAGTGTCTGAGCTCAAAAACTCATCAGGAAAGTGTTTAGAGATCAGGGCCCGAGGCCTTTTTGTCCTCATATTCTTCTACAGGAGCAGGAGTCTCTTTGCAACCACAAGTATCTCCCCCTGGTGGCTGTTGAAAGGATTACAGGTTTATTAAGGGTTTAAGACCAGTTTCATTGGCTTCCCTTTTCTGACCTTTTGTACTGAATGTGGTTGGGCATCAAACAGTTTGTCCGGCTTAGCAGAAAGGCTAATGTCAGTTAGCACTAGTAAGTACTGCTAGCGGTCATCGTATGGTAATCTCATTCTTGATCTGCATGTTTTTGTTTTAGCAAAGATTTTACGTCAGAAGACCTTCCTAACCCAACCCTCCCATTGGTGTGAGCTTGGGGCCAACGCTCGCATGTGTACACTGGTTTTCTGACTGTAGAGTAGTTGAGATTTGAAGAGAGATGAATGATTCATATCTTCCTGACATACCTGTGAATTCGGCAACAC